CACACTCCAGTTATAAATCTGAACAGTGTGTGTTGATTTTCATTTCCTTTATAAAGTGACTTCAATGTTTAATCACAGCAAACCTAAATTGACAAAAAAGCTACAGAAAATAAGGAAAACAGAAAAGCAAAAAGATCACACAAAATATGAGAAATGTTAAAAGCTATTTTTTAAAAACACGTAGTGGTTGCAATGAGTCTTTTTTGCCAAGCCGACAATCAGAGCTTTGATAAGTATCCATTGACTGATTTGATGGGCTGGATCTGATGTCGAGGGGCAGATTGATTTTAGACAGCTTTAGACATTGTTATCTGAACTGTTACGATTGTGATCAGGGACATACAAAAGCTCATTTCCCGTTTCATATTTTGTTTTTTGAAAGGTTTTAAGAAATAATCAGGTTGATAGCTGCAAAACCTCATGGGGCTGTGAGGCCATGGAAGGGCTCAGCTAAGAAATCAAACTATTTCATGTGACTGTTTCCTTCACTCTCTGCACAAAGCTGTGGAAGGTGGCGATCCATAGACTTCATAAAACATGGACGTAGTTTTGGAAGCCCAAGGATGGTGTGTCGACGTGTTGAAAATGCTAAATCTCAACCTAACTTTGGATCAAACCAGAAACAGACCAAGACAGGGGCGGCTGTTGCTCAGTTGGTAGAATCGGACATCTCTCAACCGGAAGGTCAAGGGTTCGATCCCCAGCTCCTGCAGCAACATTTCCAGTGTGTCCTTGGGCAAGACACTTAACCCCAAATGGTTCCCGCCGCTTTGTCAGCGGCGTATGAATGGATTACTTACCTCTGATGATCTCACTACACAGCAGCCTCGACCATCAGTGTGTGAATGTGTAGGTGTGACCTGCGGTGAAAAAGAGCTCTGAGTGATCAGAAGAATAGAAAAGCGCAATACTTACTACACAAACTCAAGTCTATTTACCATTTACTTGGACTTGAGGCACACCTTGAGAATCTCGACAAACAGCAACGCTCCTGTTGTTATATCAGTAACGCTCCTCATTTTGCACAACATGTTTATTTCTGCTGTCAAAATGAGCATTTCAACATGGGGTGTGTATGTAACCCGGAGCTTTTACAGCCTGCCTCAAGAGGACAATCAAGGAACTGCATTTGTTTTGTTTTTTTTGCATTCCCTCATCGGCTTCATTTTGCTGCTTGGTTGCAACACAGTCATCAGAGACACTGTTAACGTGTCCGACCTGCTGGAGCGCCAGCACTTATCAGGTTATATTCTCAGGCTGGCTTTGGTTTGGCCAAGCTCTCACTGCATGCTGGCCAAGATAAGGTCCTTCAGTTGCTAAAATCAGCTTCTAATTGGCAGGACGTTTTGCTCATTCAGTCTGTATCTTATGTGCAGGAGGCAGCTGCTTTGCATGCTCTGCCGGTCACTTCATGTCGGCGTTAGCCTGAGGCGAGGTCCTGTGTGCTGAACCGTAAACAGTGAGGAGGCTGCACAGTGGGTGTTAAGATGTTGCTGCAACAGGTGTGCATCTTCGATTGGTGCAGCCACTTTTACGTGGGGTTGTTTGATCTTTGAAGAGCCAACATTGACATTTTAACCCTTATCAAGTTGCTCTGGAAAACACTGGAGAAAATTTGAGCACATACTTAGCATTGTAAGCATTCATTTAGAGATGTGATCAGTGGAAGCTAACAAAGGCAAGGCCAATGATCCCTCTCCATTAAGTCTGTAGGGACTTGGAGGGTTGCCTGTTCAGGAAACATTGGTTACAGCAGTTTTAAGATATTAATTACACCTTACACTTAAGAATTCCCATCTGGCCGCCAGTGAAGCTTATCAAAGTATTATTTAGTATCTTGGATTTACTGCTAACTCTGCAAAAGACAGATGCACAAACCCAAACACCAGCCCATACACAATAAAGGAAATCATCCAGCATCTCTTCTAACTCACAGTATTGAGCTTATTAAGCCCATATTTCATTTCAGTAACCTCAGCGGGGAGCGTGCCGGAACTTTTGGCATTTACAGTTGACACACAAAGTAAAATGTTAATCATGGAGGAGGGGTGGAAGCTGCCCCCTGGGATGCAGTTAGCGATTAAATCCACACACTCAGAGATAAGTGACAGTGGGAATAACCTTCTTCTTCTTCTGCAGGTCAGGAGGTCAAAACATCAGCCCACAGATCTGCCTGAGAGCCTGTATGAATACACAGATACACATTAACCCATCACAGCATAAAGCACACACACATCTTCTTCATCCATCCATTATCTATATCACTTGTGCAGTTTGGGGTCATGGTGGGCTAGAGCCAATCACAGCTGTCATTGGGCGAGAGGCGGGGTTACACCCTGGACTGTTCACCAGCCAATCACAGGGTTGACATATAGAGACAGACAACCAGCCACACTCACATTCACACCTAAGGAATTTTGACGATATTTATAATGTAAAAATGTGTTAAAATAAAGTGTTGTACTAGCTCGCTCTTGTTAAAAAGTACATTAGATGTTGTTAATGATATGAATGAAAACAACTTATAAAAACAGCTTTTAATCTTCAATTTAAAACTGAGTCATTCATGTAAAATACAATTTAAAGAAGCACTGAAATCAGCAGAGAAAGTCCTGAGATCAAACAGTGCAGGGCCCTTTCCAAATATCCACAGTTCAGTAGTCAGTACTTTTCAGTAGGAGTTTCAGTATACTGAACTTTGATGGTCATTATTTGGGTCCACCTCAGTATACTGAACATTTCAGTATGGATACTAACTTCCTGGTTTTATGCAGTATGGATCGGATGCGTGCTTTCAGGAAATGAATTGTGTTTTACCCACAATGCAGTGCGAAATTAAACGTAAATCGCCACTTCACGTCCGCCTCCAAATCAAAACAAACGAGCGTGGATTAATAGAATCCATTTTTAATCTAGAGTTAAAGTCCAGACTGAAATCACTACTTTAAATTAACAACAGAAAATATAACAAATATCTGCATTATTATAAAACCTTTCCCCCTCTATTTAAATAATGATTTAACTCTTTAAATAATGATTTAACTCTTTAAATAATGATTTCACTTTTTAAATAATGATTTAACTCTTTAAATAATGATTTAACTCTTTAAATAATGATTTAACTCTTTAAATAATGATTTAACTCTTTAAATGCGTCTTTATTGGTTTATTTTATATTCTGTATATTACTGTCTTTCATTTCTACTTTTCTTTATTATTTAGTTATTTAATCTTTTACTTGATTTACATTGTGATATTGGTTTTTGTTTACCTGACTGTATATGTGCATTACTCTTCTTGAATAAAGCTAAACAAAAAAAATAAAAAAACGTGTGAATGCGGTCGGTTCGGGAAACGTAAATGACGTCACTTCCTCACTGAATGAATCAGAAGAAGTAGGAACAAATATCTGCCTCCTGAACAGTAGGTACTAACAGTATGCAGCACAGATAGTAGGTACTGCCTACTGATTGAGTATGTACTTGACAATTTGGATACGGCCCAGGTTTGAGTCAAACATTTCAAAATGGCCGACAAAACCTATCACGGCAGCATTTCAAACCAGGCTTGGCAGAGAGTCTGTTGGAGTCCAACGTAGTCCAAAGAACCATGTCTCTCGACCACTTGATTTGGCAGCGTATGGTTTGCAGTGTAATTGGTGAGAGCGTTTGACATTTGTTTCCATCTGTTGCCCTTCGTGCTGGATGACTCTGCCAAAGTTTGCTGAGAGTGTTTTTTGTTCTGTTGGTACCAGAGACGCTCGGCCGCTTTCGTCAGCTCACTCCCGAAGCTTTTCATATTCTTCATATTCTTCATATTCTTCATGTTCTTCATATTCTTCATATTCTTCATATTCTTCATGTTCTGTGCGCTGGTTCATTTGCAAATGATGAAACAAGTCGGCCGTCGAGCCGTCTGATCCCGGTCTATGACATCCTCCTCCTCTAAAGATTTGTTTTTGTGCCTTTATTGTAGAGATGAGGATGTCGGATTCAAACCCAGGCCATCCGCCTCGAGGACTACAGCCTCCGCACAAGCTAGCCAGTCAGCCATCGGCGCCCTAACATCCGTCTTTTCAAAGTCAAACCACCTCTATGCGAGCGAGTGAGGATGATCCACATCTTAAAGATAAAGGCTGCTCGAAGTGCATTTCTTTATTTAACATGTGTCTGTTGTGAGGAACTGCTGTATGCCTTGCAGCCAATCAGATATGAGAATTAACCCAAATGATGCTGCACTGGGTGGCGTCATGGCTACAGGACGGCTATCTGTTAGCATGTTTGTTGTTCATGTAGTTAATCCAGCATACTTCCATCATCCTCCGTTCTTAAACTTTTGATTATACTGCAGGCTTTGTGTCTGTTTCTTATGCTCACAATATGAAACCTGAAGGTCAGAGTGCAAGTTCTATTTTGCACATACAATGAGTTTTGTGTGTCTCTGAGCTGTGCTGTGTGCAGGCAAGAGTTTAGATTAAACGTGACCCTGAGGTTAGCGTGGATGTGTGCCTGCGTTCTCTCATAATAGAGGCCGTGTAAGGTTACCTTCGGTGAACGGGGAAACGCAGGCGTATTAAAACGTTCGTGCAGACACACCACTTTGTCATCGAGCTTGTCGACACACAACCAAGGCTTCTCCTCCTTTCTTGTCATGTCCTTCTCTGCCTGCACACCCTGTCTCATCCGTGTGAGTACGTCTGCACAAAGAGAGTTTTTAATGTTCGATGTTGAGATGGCTGCCGTCCTTGGAACCACATCGTCAATATGTTCTGCAAATGAAGAAAGCTGTTTGTGGACTGAATAACAAAAACTCAATCAAACTTTTGTAATGACGAGACGCACCTGTGAACACTCCAAAACTTTTTTAATCTCCTTCAAATTGTTCTTATTTGTGTTTTTACAGAGTCCCAGAGCTCTCAAACATAGCCGAGTCTTGTTATGGTGAATATCGTCTGTAGCAGTAAATAATGTTTCCTCCTCTCTCTCTCTGTTTGTCCACAGCACAAAGACCCCTAAGAGGGCCGTGTTTGCAGGCAGCATGCAGCTGCTGGCCGGTGTCAAGCTGTGCACAGGCCGAGTTCTCACCAACCACCCCCATTATGAAGATAAAGACCTGCGGGAGAGGACCAAACAGGTACTGTAGGATGTGCCATACTGTCTAACATACACAGGGGAGGGGAGACTCCTAGAGGGGCTGCACACACACACACACAAACACACACAATACGTGGAAAACGTACCTTTCAAAGTAAATAAAAGGATTCTCCGGTGTCGGCTTTAAAAGTGAGTCATGGTGATTTGTACGCCTATTAGCAGCTCGCTAAGAAAGGGAGTTATTAAAGTGTGTTCAGACATAACACCGGGGTAAATGAAGGGGCGTCCCTGCTGCATACAAATTCAATAAAGGAACCTGATTGGTTTTGTTCTTGCTTTGAGGAAGAGGAAATTGATGCACATAACTGTCTGTGCAAGTTGAAAAATGTTGACAATGTGGCCTCATGGTTTATAAATCTGCATCATTAATGGTCAGGGATGAGAGGGGAAGTGAGAAACAGTAGGGAAGTAACAGAACAGATAATCTGACATCAATCATGTTGCTGAACACAGACAAACTAGAGAGCTTTGACTTTAAAGTCTTTCTATGTGATTTTTCACACTTAAATATAATATAAATCAAGTATATCCTCTGAAAATAACTCTGTGAGTCATGACTGTCTACAATGGTTGTAACACCCGAGTCCCACTGTCTGTGATGTTTTCAGAGTTTTCAGAGTCCTATCTTCACTTTGTTTACATCGTCAGGACGGCCGGCTGACTCCTCCCCTCGTGTATAAAAGTTGTTTAATTGAGGGACTAGAGAAAAGAAGAATAACATACTGTACTCACTGCTTAACTGTGTTTCTAGATCACGCTCATTTCAGGTAAATTTACATGTCCATTTATCTCCTTTCTTTGTAAACTCTGATTGTTGAATTCTCAGAACGTGTGAACCTCTCCATGTCGTCATGTATCTCCTCAACGATTTCAACCCAGTGTCTAAAAGTAGGAGGGTCCTCTTTGCACCATTTCCTGGTGACTGCTTTGTTGCCTGGAGCCAATCTTTTATCAGATATTTATCTTCACAGTGAACAGATCACCTGAATATAACACCACAAACTCCTGAGGGAATTCATAACCCAGTATTGCCTTCAAAGTAACCCACACATCCTCCCACTACTTCCCCATTTTTGTGTGTGATTATGTCTCCACAAAGTCTCCAGCACGTCTGTCGAGGAGTGAAAACGTTTTGTTGGTCTGTGTTGTGATCGTTTCATGTGCACTCGGTCTTTCAGTAAATCTTCTATAAATCGTTTTAATGCAACATCATTGTAACCTTGAGTTAACATCATTACATCTGAACACATTCATCACATTATTCTATACATTCATGCACACACTCTGTTAGGAGACTCATGCTCTGATACGCTGCTGCAGCGAGGCTCTCGTCGGTACGTTCAGAGTAAATACAGCGAAAAAGTCTTCAGCCACATCTAGCTTTGTTGTTCCAGCAAAGTTTTAATGAACATCTCTATTTATTCCTCAGTCTCTTTTTTGAAGACATAACAAGAAAATATTTTCCCAACTATTTAAAACCCACGCAGTTTTCAGAACTAAAAACTTCTGCAGGTAACGTCAGTGTTTAGTAGAGCTCTCTGTGCACTTGTTGAACTCTTTGAGGGAGACTGCTTTCACGTTTCTTTCTTCCTCCTGCTACATCATACCAGGTTTCTTTCAGGAGTTCCTCTTTACAATTAGGCAGTCTGTTATTCCTCTCTCCGTCCAGGTGGTCCAATACTGCCCTTATTATAGTCAGACAGGCCGCTCCATGACCCTCAGTGTATAACCAGCTGGTTTTTTTATTTCACTGTATGTGCAGTGTGCTACAGATTGTTGTTGTTCTGAAAAATATAACAATTCTCTATTTGGGCGCTTCCCAGGGTGCAGACTACAGTGTGTGTGTGGGTGTGTGTGTGTGTGTGTGTGTGTGTGTGTGTGTGTGTGTGTGTGTGTGTGTGCGTGTGCGTGCGTGTGTGTTTGTGTTGTGAGGGAAAACCAACCCTTTTCCAGGCCTCTGGCGGGACTATCCTCTTATTTGGTTTGGACGTCACTTATTTGGCGTCTCACTTAAGACGTTTGAGCCGAGGTTAAAGCGAAGCGCTGAACAAATCTGTGCAGTAATGATGCTATCAGGTAACATGACACAGCCAATCAGCAGGGGCCGCTTTCAGGTGAGCAGAAACCCAGACGAGCTGAAGGTCACAGCCGGCCTTTTTCAGCAGTCCTGATAACACTGGACAGGCTCCGTTTCCAAGGAGACCGAGGTCATGAGAGAAACGCCGCACATCGACCCAGACTCCAACACTGTCTCCTCTTTGACACGAACCGAATGTGACCAGAGGAAACAAACAACATCACTCAGGTTAACCAGAGGGAAACAAAGTTCCTTGTATAGAATCCAGGACACAAAAGAGACTTTATCAGCCTTATTTGGAAAAGGTCGGGTATCTCTCCGAGCCCACGGCGCTCAGGTGTAAGTGCTCCTCTGTCTCTCCAGTCTCCCCCGATCAAGCTGTAATAAATGATTCTGTGTTCAGAAATGTCTTAAATCAAGAGTTGACAAGCTCCCGCTTTTCCGTCACCATCTGTATTTTATTCATGATGTGTTTCACATCATTATCTCTTAATTAGCCTAATTAAGTTGTCTGTTATGAGATACTTCCCGTTAGATTAGTATCTGATTCAGCTGCTTGTGTTAACATATTGTGTTCTTTTGATTGAAGGAGAGCTGACACTTTTTTTTTTTAGATTTATTTTTGGAAAATTTGGTAATTTTCTTATTTTTTATTTTTAGCATCCGAGTCGTTGTGTAGATTTCACACTGTGATGTTAAATCTGATTCAGATGTAACAGCAGAAATCACTGCTGGTTTTTTCTTATCTATTTTTTCAGTTTAGTAACAGCTGAGCGTGGACACAATTACAGAGTTCAGACTTAAACACGCAGCCTGAATGTTCTTGTGAGACTGACAGGATGAGAGGAAGGTTAGCTGAATGTTAATCTGAGTGTTTGCAGAGTGTTTTTGATTCTTCATCCCAAATGTCTTTGTTTATTATTTAGTCAAGATCTGAATATTCTGCCTTTAACTTCCTGTTACCCCGGTGACAGCATGTTTCCTGCTTAGTGTGTGTGTGTGTGTGTGTGTGTGTGTGTGTGTGTGTGTGTGTGTGTGTGTGTGTGTGTGTGTGTGTGTGTGTGTGTGTGTGTGTGTGTGTGTGTGTGTGTGTGTGTGTGTGTGTGTGTGCGTGTGTGTGTGTGTGTGCGTGTCTCTCTCTCTCTCTCTCTCAGCTCTGTGCTCGTATCCTGCTGGGTGGGAGATGGGGGGCTCTGTGTGTAAGGGGGCCGGTGACCTGCAGTGATTGTGTGAATGAATATGGGACCAGAGGAAGCTCCTGCTGCATCCATTAACTCCCACTGAAGAGTAATGGAGGAACAATGGAGCCTGAAAGTGCTGCAGTGTAGGAAAAAGACGAGACGGTTGGGGTCTTCACTTTAGTGCGTCTTACTGTAGTAATGTAAAGAAATGCATTATTAATGCAGCGTCTCCTGTTTTGTTTTTGCGTTGATGCATGATGCAGAGGAAACCACTTTTTAGAGCAGCCTGAGGAAGTTAAACGTTTCAATTTGATTCTGTCTGTTTTACATAAAGACTTGTTTTTGTGCAGAAGTTTAACAAAATGTATTCAAGCTTTTTCGTCCTTTATGTGTTTGAATTCTTTGCTTCACTTTGCCTTGATGCTATCTGTTGGTCCTTTAGCCTTTGCACTTCCTGTCTTTGAACCACATTAGCAGGATAAACAGAATTCACACAATAAAGACGCCGTTTATAAGAACACATCCAGGCTTTACACGCTGCACACAAAAGCACATGAAGCTGAAGAAAAACATGATAGCCAATTAGCTCGACTATTAATATTCATTTGGTTTTGATCCTCCCCTGTGCATTTCCTTCTTACAACAAGCAGGACATTATGTGTGTGTGTGTGTGTGTGTGTGTGTGTGTGTGTGTGTGTGTGTGTTTGTTTGAGTGTGTGTGTTTGAGTGCGTGTAGGTCGTCTCATGGATAGCTGACTCCATGTTTTGCCTCCCAGCGGGGGAGTCCACTGTGCTGAGCCGCTGGCCCGACCTGAGCTGAGTGCAGAGCTCATTAATGATCCACGACACTGCTGTGTGTGTGTGTGTGTGTGTGTGTTAAGATCCTTAATGGTGATTTCGGCTCTTCTCTCTTCTTTGTTTTTTTTTTCTCTGGCTATAATTTGTGTGTGGATTTAAAAGCTTCATTAGTGGACACATAACATAATTATTCTTTAAACTTGTAACTGTTGGAAGATGTTGAGTTTTCAAATTAAAAGTCTTAATCTGAAGTGTAAGATTTGTAATTTTGATCATTTAGTGGGAGCTGTTCCATCTCTTCTGCACGTCGTCATGGAGACGGTTTGTAAACACTTCTTACAGTTCAGTCTGAGCGTCTTCAAAGTGAGACTGAGCGAGTTGAGAAGATTTAAAGTGCCCACCATCTTTCTTGACCTGTGACGTGGATCGGTGCCGTCAGTCCAATATCTGATACGTCACTATAGGACCCGATAACGATATTAAATCGGATCGGTCTCATGTCTGGCTTTAGTGACATCGGAGGGTATTTTTTGGGGTGTTGAAACTTGCTTGCCCTCATTTAAACCGAACCCCCCTCCCTCACTGCTGCTGGGTTCACTTTCTCTCCTGATAAACACGATGATTCTATTATTACAGTACTTAGCGGTTGCGTGATTTGTCCATTTAAATCCGTTTCTGCGTGAAATTAAAAGTCTGATTCCACATCGTTCTGATCAGTTTTGTTTAACACTTGTTGTTTTGGCCCTGGCTCTGATTTAGTTTCACCAATACTTGTTTTCAATCAGATTTCTTCAGTAAACATTTTTTAATAGAATCCAAATCAGACTTTCATCAGAAAATAAATGTGGCTGGTAATAGAGTTCCAGCAGAGAGCGTTTTTTTTCTTCTCCTTCCAACATTATTGGTGGTAAATTACGAAGCCAGAAGATCTTTTTTTTTTTTCACAGAGAAAAAGCAATCATAAACTCCACACAATCCTAAATAAACCCACTTTCATTCTGTGCGTGTCTGTGTGTGAGAGAGCAGGTGTATCAGGTGTACGGTCGGCGGTCCCCCGAGGAGGTCTACGACATCCTGAGAGCCACCGGGGCCGACTACGTGGTTCTGGAAAACAGCATCTGTTACGAGCGGAGACACAGACGAGGCTGCAGACTGAGAGACCTGCTCGACCTGAACAACGGACATGTGGGTGGCATTTATTTAACATGACTCAGCCTGTGTGTGTGTGTGTGTGTGTGTGTGTGTGTGTGTGTGTGTGTGTGTGTGTGTGTGTGTGTGTGTGTGTGTGTGTGTGTGTGTGTGTGTGTGTGTGTGTGTGTGTGTGTGTGTGTGTGTGTGTGTGTGTGTGTGTGTGTGTGTGTGTTATCTCCTCTGCCAGCTTGTGTGTCTGGGTGAAAGCTTGCAGCCTCCTCACAGATCAATACTTTTACTTCTCGTCCACACGTCATCGTCTCTCACTGTTTTTTTTTTTTGGTTTATTTCTGTTGTTTTCTCGTCTTTCTGGCGCCCTTCTTCATCGTACCTGGTGGTGCTTTCTGTCCGTTTTAATCTTAAATCCATATTTCTTATCTTCTTTTTCTACCAGTACCTGAGATCCCCTCTGCCCAATCTTATCACCTTAAATTAATTAAATATGACAGCTGACACCTACCTCACTAAAACTTTTATTTTATGTTGTTTTTCTATTTTCTGTTTTTGCAGTGGTTGTAAATCTGATACTGATATATTGGCCGATATCTTTCTTCTATCTTTGTTTGTTTTAGACATTGCATCTTCATGTGTAGTTGTACTTCCCTCTTAGGGGGGCTGCATCTTCACAGCACATGTTAAAATAATCAACCAACATAGGCTTTCGTGAGGAATCCATCACTGCAGACGTGCTGTCACATCCAGCTGGCAGACGAGCAAAGTGAAATCAGAGCGTCTGACAGGCCGTCCATCACCCTGCTGCTGTTTATCTCCACAGTGTTGATGATGTACTGATTGACACGTGGTGGTCCCATTAAGACTGGACATTAGTGTAAGCTGCCTGTCATTCCTGTCGCTGTTTGATGATGACACGCTCGCTCTCTGTGCCTTCAGGTTATGGACGGGCCGGGAGAGAACGACCCCGACCTCGTCCCCGCCTCCCACCCTCGATTCTGCGAAGCCATCCAGACGGAGGACGCGGCCTACTCGGCCCTTTTCACCAGAACATTTCAAAACAAAACCTTCCACGTGTACAGAGTCAAGAAGAAACGCAAGAAAGGCTCCAAGACATCGTCAGAGGCCAGCGGGACTCAGTAGCAGGAAAGTAAAAAAAAAAAAAAAACCGGAGGGGAGAGAGAGAGAGAGAGAGACGGAGGAGTAGAGAAGAGTCCTCGCTGCTCCAAGCCCAGCTGTGATCACGACCATTATTATTTGAACACTCGACTCTGTGAACTGAGCTGTGAGAGCAGCGGGAGCTTCTTCCAACTCGGGGGGGGGGGGGGGGGGGCGCTCTGTTTCAGAGAGAGAGAGAGAGAGAGAGAGAGAGAGAGAGAGTGTGGAAGCACCTTAAGGAGTCCTGCACCCTTCCAACCTTTCAACCCGCTCTCCTCCTCCTCCTCCTCCTCCTCCTCCTCCTCCCAGCTCACACTGCTGCAGACGGACAAACAAAAAAAAACCATCTAGACGACCCCCTCAGCAGGGTCCGAAACACCACGAGCAAACACTAATATTTTAGTTTCCATCTGAACCACTCTGTGTTATCTTTCCACCGCAACAGGGATGAGTCATTGCTGCTGAGCTTTTGTTTTCTACTGAGGCTGACAAGCACTGAGAGAAATGTAGGTCCATTAAAAAAACTATATAAACTCCTCAAACAAAAGTTTGGAAACGTGATTTCGGTCACTGTTTTTGATTAGTCATCTTTACAACAAGGTATAACTTGTAAGGATCATGCAGTCGTAGAATGAGCAGCACAGCTAAACGTGTGGGTAGCAGGAGTGAACACCAACAGAAGAACATTGCAGGGGATTTTGGCACGTTTTTTTTTGGGCACTACCCACACATTTAGCTGTGTTGCTCCTTCCACGATGCACTATCCTTAAAAGTTATATACCTCATTGTAAAGGTGACTAATCAGGCTTTCCAACGATATAAAACACAACACAAATTAGTATTATTAAAGAAATATTAATACAACCGAAATATTGTTTCCAAAGTTTATTATATGATTAAAACATCCTAAAAGTCGAGTCAGGGACAGGGGGTGCAAATGAGGGCGCACTCACACAAGGCAATCCGTACCGTGCCCAAGCAGCCTTCACCCTCAAAGTCCAGGTCGTTGGACTAGTGGGAGTGCTCTGCTGCATGCTCAAGCATCGTACACCTCCTCTGCCCTGGCTCGCTTTGAAGAGGTTTGCTTTGGCACGGTACAGTTCATGCACGAGCACAACCGATATCGAGAAATCCCAGAGTGTTCTGGATGTATCCGACTCGAGTGACTCAAAATAAGACACAAAGTCAGTGAAGTAGCTGTCGTGTTATCAGACTATCGGACTCCACCGTGCCCCTTTTTTTTAAATGTTTGAGTCCCACGCTTCACGATCACATAAAGCCATGCATGTGTTGTGTTGCGACGTTATGTTTAAGAGGTGACCGTGCTCAGGCCCGGTTAGTCCTGGAGCAGTGTGACCGCAGGCCAGTGGAGGAATGAGGGGAGGGGGGACAATCGTGCTTAACAGAGCGGAGCAGACTGGTGTGAGTGTGCCCTTAGCCACGCCCAGAAACCCGTATGCATGGCGTCTACTTTATATTTCAAATATGAAGCGAAGTTCATTACATGTATCCCTGTTAAATAAAGAAATAGAATAAATAGAATAAAACATTTAAGCAACAACAACAACAACAGCAAACCTTTAACTTTAAAAGTTATATCAAAAGTAAAAATTATTTTATTAACTTCATACTCGGCAGTGAAAAAAGAACGACGTGTGCTTTTGGGCTAATGTCACAAAGTAAACTCAGAGATGTGATGAGCCTCACAGACGAGGAGACCTTAAAGAACTTTAACCTTCACAGAACTTTCTGTTAGTCAAAGTTTTTATAGAAAAACAGTCAGAGGGCTAGAAAAGAAATTTACAAGCTCAAGTCCATTCAGCGATTAAAATGTGTTTTGACTCATTTCAAGTTTCAGCCATGTCTTTTTAAAAGTTTACTAAAGGTTTCTCTCGACCTTGCAGGTATTTATGTGACGACCCAATCAGAACCCGATCTTTGGTGAAATTGTTGAAAAGTCAAGAAATGATCGGTTTTGGTTTTGAGCTCCTGAAAATATTCAATGTGCACTTGAGTCTGTTTGAGGTTTACACTTCTTCTTCTTCTTTTTCTGTGACAAAAAAATGCTCGCAGATATTTCCTGCTTTTCTTTTCTTTTTTCAAAGCCAGTACACTTCCTGTTCGAACTTTGACTGTGAGGTTTTCGTCCTGTGGATGTGTTTTTGTCTCCTGTGGGAGTTTACACCGTTTGTTTAACTTTGACCACTGGCTTGAATCAGATCAGTTTGGCACTATTTGTGGAGAGATGTATTTTAGCTGCATCTGATTGGTTACCCCCTTTAAAGGAAAGACTGAAATTCTTTGAGTCAGTTTGGAGGTTGTAACCGCTGCTCGAATGTGTTTTGGGCGTTAAAAGCGAGGTCAAAGCTGGTACCAAGTGATATTTTTTGACAGTGTTGTTTTGTTTTGATTGCTGTCGGCTCTGTGATTCTCATCATCAGCAGCCTCCACCTTTCCACTCGCTCTTCTCTCTCACACACACACACACACACACACACACACACACACACACACACACACACATGAATGATGTAAGTGGCGAGGAAATTGCGGCTGGCTGACAACGATGCTGATTCCCCGCCGCAATCCAAAATAGTTTGTAAAAGAGAGGGGGGGAGGGAGAGAGGGGGGCAGCACTCGCATATCAAACTGAGGCTTTGTGGTTGGAGAAGAAAGTGAGGAGGAGCGGCGGGGAGGGCGGCGAGGACAGAAAAGACTCATGTTTAAACAGCAGCAGACGAGAGATGAGAGTGCATCAAAACACGGATTCAAAATGATCTGAGCCCCTTCCTCGCATTTTGTTTCTCTTCCTTCCAAAGAAAGAGAAAGAAGAAGAAGAAGAAGGTGATTAAAAGGCTGGAGCTGTAATTATGGGCCGGCCAGTCCCAGCTGCCTGCTACAAAGAGCTGTTATGAGGGTACAACACACACACACACACACACACACACCTTCACACCCCCCCTCGCTCGCTCCCTACCTTCGTCTCAGTCTGCCTATATTTGTACACTTGTTAATAAGGACCTCTGTCTTTGATAACCCACACACTCGCAGATGCATGAACCCCTCCTGCAGCGGTTTGTTGTGGAGCTCTTTGATAACGTGTTGTTCGTTAGCCGCGGCCTCGTTGTAATGCATACCAATCAGATCAGTGTGCCGCAGCTACAGCTCCCCGCTCCCACCCTTTTATTATTGGATGTTTAATTTAGGAGATGTGTGATTGCTTTATCCGAGAGCGAAGTGATTCCATTATGTTCTGCCTAATAAGAGTTTACTAATGTCATATTCTCTCAGCATTCTTAATTTCCATACATATTGGGATTAGTAGTTCATAACGCAGCCGGCTCGGGTGCTTCTTTTTTCTTTTTTTTTCTTAATGAAAGAGGAGCGAAGGAAACTATTTGTGTTGCTCATGAAGAATTCAGATCAACACTTCGTTTATGTTTTTAAAATGTTTTTAGAACTGAGCAGTGGATGTTTTTCCAAAGTAAATGAGGCCACTTAAATTCATATTTTGCTCGAGAAATGAAGAGTTGCACATGTGCCAGAAACCGTGCCAGAAACCAAGCCAAAAGCCAAATTCACAGCCCGCCTCCAAGGGTAAAAGCAAAAACAAGGTTCACCCTCGTTTCAGAACGAGCTTTCTGGGTGTTGTTTCGCCTCGCTGCGATTATATTTTCCTCTCAGTATATTTTCCTCTCAGTCCAGGTCCGTCATATTCGTCCAATCGCTGAGTTGTATCCTCTCCTAAACTGGAGGAAACACACCAGCTCCGAGTCAACCAAATCAATTCCTGAAAATCCAGTCAGAGGAAAGGGTCTCTGCAGACACAGTCACCACCACGGAGGACTAGAAGTGATGACTGAGCAGAATTACTTTTGCATGAGTTTATAGTTGTTGTTTTTTTTTTTATGTAAAAGCTACTGACTCTATCTTTAAAATTTGCACATCTCATTTTGACAGCCTCAGAGCAGACAGCCTCTCAGGGCCCGGACCCCCAGGTTGGGACCACATTGGCTCCATGTTTTATATTTCTGTCCTCTTTATGTTTCAGTAATGTTTCTTTAGTATTTCTAGCTTTACACAATGCAAAATGATTTTCTTTCCTTTTTTGTGACCTGTAGTGTTCATTGTCTGTAACTGTTGTTGAAAATTGTTCTGCTGGAGTGAGCCGAGCGGAGCCGAGGGGAAGTTGTCGCTCGGTCATCCAAGTTTTTACTTTGAAAAAAATGTAATTAACCCAGAGTTCATAGTAATTTAGTTCAACTTAAAATAGGGGGAACAACAAGGTAGGAATGAGAACTTTTCTGGTTTTGGAAGAAGAGTTTCAGAGTCCACTTCTGGTGTTTGAGATAAGAGCGAGCTCCCACATTGTTGTTCAGAGATATCCCAAAAGGTAACTGATGGGGTTGAGGTGAGGTGAGGGCTCCGTGCAGGCCGACGACATTTTGAAAAAAAAAGAATAAGGACCAGAGACTATAAATATACAGTGGAAGAGTAACTACTGTAGCCTCTGCGACATCACTCATTGGATGGAGACAACCACTTTAAAGCCTTGACTTTGGCCATTAGAGCTGCTGGTGTGAAGGCTGTTTGGAGCCAGAAATATTAAACCACATGTTGAAACATGACGGCTCTTTAATGGTTGACAGGTTGCCATGGTAGCTAATTGTCAGAGGAAAGAACATTGCCTCATTTGCACCCTGCTTTCTCATTTATTTCACTCTAAATGGGACCATCGTATATGAATAGATTGAAACTATCTCTGCTGCAGACCATGAGTGTTCAGGGTGTTTCTGTCGGCTGGTTTAATTTACTGTCTCGCTCGTCATGGTTGTCGATCACTATGTTACGTAGCTCTGAAGATTGAGATGATGTTTTTTTTCAGCATCTGCTTCTAGAATTTCAAACACAGGGATGGAAAAGGTGAAAGAGTATCCTAGCTGATACTTGATATGTATTGACGAGATGGCACACAAAGCAGACACATAACAATGCTGTCTAAAGCCGCCGGAGTCCGAGTCGAGGTTCAGCTAAACTGCGGTTCAGATCGATGTCTGGGTGCATGTCGGAGCAGGAGTTGAAGTCAATACAGACCGACGTTTTGTTTTGTTACATTCACTGTCAGATCATTTGTGTTCATGTTAGAGTGCAGCTTTGATGCATGTGCCAATCTTTAAAAAAGAAATCTGCCGGCAAAAACAGAAAATGCCGCTGAGCCAGCGCCGTGTAAATACAATGAAACTATGAAACAATGTGAAGTTATAAGGGTCGACTCGAAGCCACTGCTGAGGGGGCAAAACATACTGTACACAGACTGAGGCTTTTCATTAAAGGAAGAATGTGCAACATTTTGATCCAGTAGATGCCGCCTGGAGCACCAGCATGAAACCAAAACAAACTTCTGTTTGGCCACGCCTCCTCCGCTCTCCTCCAACGACACACCTCCAGCCCCTCTCAACTTCAAAGTTCACACAAAGGAGTTATGAATTCGAACGCATCACGATTAAGCACGATAAAGCGCAATCGACGTACAAAATTGTCCTTTGCTCGAGCTGCAATCACCTGTGTCCTGCATCGTTGTGCTTGCATGCTAATGTTAGCTTGTAGCTTCATATTGCACATAAATTGAAACAGAGTGACCGTGATCTAAAAACTCTTACTAACATTCAAATAATCAGTGAGTATGTTCTTCTTCTTCTCTCTAGTTCTTGACTAAAACAGCTTTTATACACAAGGGGAGGAGCCGGCCGTCCCGTCCATGTGAACACGGCTCTGACAACAACACAGCCAGCGGGACTCGAGCTTCTCCCTCATTGTAGACAGTCAGGACTCAGAGACACATTTACACAGGAGAGACTGGATCTCTGATGTATTGAAGTGTAAAATGTTGCACATTCTTCCTTTAAATAGAACTCCAGGTACATTTTGATTGGCCAGCATGTCGGCCGCTCTTCTCAACGAACTGATGCACCTTAAATTCTGTGACTGAGAGAAATATGGTGAGATGAATGCGAGTGCCTTTGGTCCTTTTTCCCCTCCAATGTTTCTGTTATGTCTTCTACCTAAATGAATCCATGAACATGCTGTACAGCTGCTTTTCTGCTGCAGAGCATTTTTCATTTGAGACGTCACACAAAGTGTTAAATGTTTATTCAGCAGTAAAAACTGTTCTCATTGCACGTTACTGGTCAAGGGGGGTATGTGAGACCCCCGAGACCCGTCGGCCTCTTTTCCAATGGCAGTGTTAGATATTAGACAACGTCTATGTTCAATGGCAGTATGATTAATAAAAGTAATTTCTTTCCCAACAATGTCAGTCCCTCGTTTTTTTTTTGAATAATGTTTATTTTCTTTCAGATGCAGTCACGACTCGGCATTCACCGGTGCAAATAAATGAATTTATTGAGAAAAAGAAGATCGAAGCAAATACAAAACACTCACATAACTGTCCAAAAGCTCGTCGCCGCCACCGCCTGTCGTCGTCAGGATGATAAAACAGATATGTTTGGTTTGATGTGTTTTTCTCAGAAGCTGCACAGTTTCAACCTAGGCTGCTTTTCTCGACATAAAAAGCAATAATTAAGTAATCTCTTTTATTTACAAATGAGGTAAAAACATTAACTTTGTTCACAACATGTCTGCACCCGGAACACAACATTTAAGAAGCCGTTTTATGGTACAAATGAATAAATGGTGGTGGTGGTGGTGGGGAGAGAAAGGCTGCTTCCTTACAGCTGCAGAAAGACGAAGCGTAAAGCGTCTTCACCTTTTTGTTTCTCTGCGTGCTGCAGGCCTCGGCCCCGTCTCTGCAGAGGAATACAAAAACAAGCATCCCTCTCTAGGAAATCCCCGCTGTCTGTTAAAAAAAAAAAAAAAAAAAAGCGTGTGTCTGACTTTCAGGCGTCATCCTTCAGCCGAGTCTCTTAGTTTAAAAAAAGACACATTGTTGCCTCTGCTTATGAGAAAATCGCTTTCGTCTGGAAAGCCACAATCTTGAAATCAGCTCCTCTGTTGCTTTTTTTTCTTTTTGTTTCTAAGTACCAACAACCCTTTTGGTTTTCTGCAGCATGACAGCCAGCCCCATCAGCTCCTATTAGGATTAGAGGCCTGACATGTTTTCACACGCTCCCACACTTGAAGTGCTCTGTGCAGACGGGCTCCGCTCTGCCAGCCGGAGGACGGGTAAAAAAAAGAGAGAGAGGGTGGTGATGCTACTTTCTGCAAGGTCCAGCGCCTGAAACTCAAGGGGAAGCCAGGTTGGTTCTTTAGGGGATGCAGGGAGAGCGGGTGAGGGAAAATAACTTTTGTATTTTTGTGATTTTCTGTGCAACAAACCATCACTCCCAGCACCCTGACTCCCATCTCTAGAGCTACCTGTGGAGCTACCGAGCAGCTACGTTTACAGCCGAGCCAGGCACTTGATCAGATGGTTCCTCCCTGTCGCCCCCCCACTCCTCGTCTCACCTCCCTTAACACGAGACAAAAGAGATCAGGTACTCTTTACCTCTTCCCCTTCTTTTTTTCCGTCAGTGCTTTTTTTTGTTCCTTTTAGACTAAATCGTTCTGTTAAAGAATAGAGGAGAGGATTTATTCTTCTGTTCAGGGATGATGTGATGAGAACGGCAAGTAAGAGGAATGCTTTCCACTGGGCTGACAATTCACAGCTTGGATGATAGCTGCAGAGTTATTATTTCCCTTGCAATTTTTCTATCGGCCCATTTTTCCAACAATTATACCGTCTCAGCTCAGAGTCGATATGTCAGCGAGGAGGAATAGATGAATGTGTGCGTGGCACAGGTAGGACAGCTCGGAGCCACATGAATAATCATTATAAATCTCCCTGCTCCTCCTCCTCCTCCTGTTTGTATTTATTGAGTAGTCACCTTGGAAAGCTGTTTGTATTCAACCGAGCAATTGTCTGTTAAAGCGGTCTCTGCGCAGCCGCCGCATTTGGTATGCCCGAGGAAGAGCGTGTGCCGAACAGAGCAACAGAGCAAAGTATTTCCTCCCTCCCGCGGTCCGCACGTCCGCTCCCATTTCTTTGTAACAAAGCTGTTTGAATTTTTTCTGCAGCCTCCCTCGGGTGAGGAGGAGGAGAGCTCGAATGAGAATAGGAAATCACATGAAGACGAGGGCGCAGTAGTAAGTAGAAAAGCTTGATGTCTAACAACCCACAGAGCGCTGCAACTTGAAATACCCCAACCAATACAGAATTACTGAACCCAGCGAAAGACACATTACCATAAAGAAAAAAAACAAAAACAAAAAAATCTCAATCTGCAACCCGGTGATGGTCAAAGCACTTTTTTTTTCCAAACATTGACAGAAGCTGTGTACAGCCAGGCAGCAAGAACACAAAGTGTCCATTATATACTGAAAAATCCAGACTTTGTGTTATAAGGGCTACTCAGTATGATCCCTCTCGTCTTCACCGTCTCATGTAACATCACATAAAGCATTCTTATTTACAAAGATTGAATTCAGCAGCGAGGTGCTAAAAAATACATTTCATGTGGCATTGATTTGCTCAGCTATAAAAAAAACAAAATTTTTTTATTTCACATTTTAGGCCTTCATCTGACACTCGGCTCACAGTGAGTGTTAGAAAATAGAGGAAATTTGTGGTATTATTGGCTGTGACTGGAACAGATGTGTCTGACAGTGAAGCTGAGCTCCATCATGATGAGTAGCCCAGGTAGAGAGTGACGTTCTGAAGCCTTTAAGGTGAGTGGCAGGTTTGATAACGTCTGCTCCGAGGAAGAGGAGCGCAGAGCAGAGCGACAGCCTCTTCTTTCTCGGGGACGCTTTCATCTGTCTGTTAGCCCCCCCCCCCCCCCCTCCCCCGTGTTGATTGACGGCGCTCATCATCCAGTAAATACAACACATCCTGTGTCAGGTCGAGGGGGAGCTGAGCGAGTCTGTCTGTCACTCACTCTCTCGCTGTCATCGTCGAGCGTCTGCTAATTGATTGTTCGGGGGGTCGGCCCCGTTTTTTAAGGGTCCCATGAGTCTGTGAGCGTCTGAGCTCAGAGGTCGCTCGCCTCCGCTCGCTCGTACAACGCCCGCAGCTTTTCAAAGCGAGGGCCCCACTCCCCCAGCGTCTCCTCCCTTCTCCCCTCTCCTCCGCCTCCTCCTCCGTCTGCGCCGCTCCCTCCGTCCAGCCCCGCTGAGCTGAAGGAGCTGAGGGAGCCGGCGGGCGAGCCCCCTCCCTCGGTGGAGAAGACCTGCAGGGAGTCGAAAGGTCCCGTGTCCGGATGCTGGTCCGCATCGCGGATGATCTCGCACAGGTAGCGGGCGAGGTCCTGGCTGGAGAAGGAGAGGGAGCGCCGGGCCAGCTGGGAGGGGCGGGCCTGGCCCTGGGCGGGGAGTCGGGTGGGGGGCACGTCTCTGCGCAGGCCGGTGGTGCCGGTGGAGGAGGTGGAGGCGGCTGAAGGGGGCAGAGTGGTGGAGCTGGTGGTCCGGCTGAGGGATTCCAGCGGTTGGGTGGAGGGCGGGGCGGGGTGGGCCTGGTGCAGGAGGTGGTGGTGGTGGTGGTGGTGTGGAGGGGGTGGAGGGTGGTGCAGGGCTCTGGAGCGGCAGTACTGCACCGACTGGGCCGGGCTCGGCTGGAGGGACTTCTGCAGCTCCGCCATGTCGTACGCATTCTGCAATGAAACACACGGTGCACAAACAAGAGGAAGAATAGCAGTTAGCAGAGAAACGCGACAAAAAAGAAAGATGGAGGGAAAGAATCGATGTTTATGGGAGAAAGGAGGGAAGAAAAAATGAAATGTGACAGAGAAGAAAGCTGAAAAATGAAAAGCCCTCCCCGCCCCTCCCCGTAACGTTTACTGTGAATGTTCCACCTGTTCAAGTTTCCAATCCGTCTCCATTTACTGTCTCGGAGAAGTCACTGTAATGTTGAGGATCTGTGTATACGAGAAGATAAAACACCTGAGTGGCTGTGATTCAGAGCGGAGATGAAGGGGCGACTCTCTTCTTCTGTGCACCGGTGCGTCGAGTTTAGGCGCACGCTGTTAGCTTCACATTTACTGCGAGATTTGCCAATAGCTTCGGCGCTAATGTGATTCCACCAAAAGTGTAACCACGGCAGTCGAGATGAGGAATGGAGGGATGTAGGAGGAGGAGGAGGGAGAAAAGATACACACAAGTGTGGGCTGTTTTGATAAACTGATTATGTGCTGAGTGGAGAGAGTGCTGGGTTTTTTTTATTCCTCCAGAGAGCTTTAAAAAACAAGACTCTTGAGAATAATCTGCAACACATGCTCTGCTATAGGGGATCTGGTGTGTGTGTGTGTGTGTGTGTGTGTGTATGTGTGTGTGTGTGTGTGTGTGTGTGTGTGTGTGTGTGTGTGTGTGTGTGTGTGTGTGTGTGTGTGTGTGTGTTTGATGTTGTAGTCACATATGTTTGATATGTGTGATATTATGCAAGCTCTTAAGTACTGCTGGGTGCTCGTGGGTTATTGTGGACGTTGGAGAGAGTAGATAAGGATAACATGTGGGCCTAACTGAAATGCTGGTGCACACACACACACACACACACACACACACACACACACACACACACACACATACACATTAACACACAGGAGGATGTGTATGGACAGAATCCAATGTAAAGCTGCGTCATTTCCTCAAGTTTTTTCAAACTGCATAAACAGTCGCCCTGGAGCTGATCCCAGCTGTCATTGGGCGAGAGGCGGGGCTACACCTCGGGCTGGTTAAATCATGTATACCACAATATGATGGTGTGTATCATATGAAACAGTGTGTACTTGAATGTAAATGACCTGTGTAAAAAAAAGAGATAACCGTCTTTCCAGGGTTGCTGCCCACTTTTTTTTTTTTTTTAAATCAATTTTAAAAACTTATTAGGCTTTTCAAGAGCCACACAAATACAAACTCACACATTTATTTTAATCAGACTTCACATGTGACTGAATGGCTTTGATTCTCATTGTCCCAAGAAGGGATGGGTCCGGTCCAATATCGACGTAAATTTACAGATTGGAATCAGACTGACGGTGCTGATCGACGTCACTGATTAAGAAAGATCATTGGGCACTTCAAACATTCTCAAACTCGCACAGTCTCTCACTTTGAAGACGTTCGGACTGAACTAATTTCTTTACTTTTATCTTTTATTTTTATTTAAATGAATTTCATTTCAACATAATTTCAGATTTAATAATTTCAGTGATATTTAAATTTTCTATTTTAATGTTTCTTTTCTTTCCTCTGTCATGATGCTCTTGTCTAGTGTGAAGCACTTTGAATTACCTTGTTGTTGAAATGTGTCTGTCAATATATATATATATATATATATGCCTTGAACTGTAAGAAGTGTCCTCAAATCGTCTCCATGACGACGTACAGACGAGATGGAACAGCTCCTTCTACATGATCAATCATCAGTAAAATTCTTAAACTTCAGATTTAAACTTTTAATTTGAAAACCTGATAGTTGTTTCTGCTTCCTGTTTGTATGTGAAGCCAGCACAGAACAATGGTTTGCTACAGCTTTGAGTAGCCTTACACATACGACCAACAACAACAACAATAACACTATAAGTTAAAATATAAAAAATATCTGAATCAGTATCGATATCGGAACTGAAAAAAAACTGGATCGGTGTATCTCTAGTCCGATAGTTTATGAGTGATTTTAACATTTCTTAAAGTCGCCTAAAATAGTTGTGTTCCTTATATTTGTCATCTTGAGGCAATATCTCCTCGTTCTTACCATCTCCACATCTTCTTCTCTCTTCCAATCATGTTGTGTTAATGTGTAAGTAATATGCTTCCACGAATGCTGTGAATTGTCATTTGAACGAGCAAATATAGAACAATAACAGAACACATAAAACTCACTTTAGATATATACGGGCATGTCTCAGTCAGAGTGCAACCTAAAACTGAAGACCTCTCATGAGTAAAAAATAACGACTTTTTAAAGCACTTCATGACCTTGGGTTTTTATAAATCTAATCGCTTTTAATACATTTTTTTCCCACTCAAAGTGGGCTGTATCCAGTACAAACTGAGACGTGTCGTCATTACAAGCAGCTTCTAATGGAATGTGGAATGGGAACCAACATGCTCTATGTGTGTGTGGTGTGACACCGTATACCAGTGAGTGTGTGTGTGTGTTGTGTATGTGTGTGTTGTGTATGTGTGTGTTGTACCTGGTCCTCCTCCCCTCCTCCCTCCTCGTCATAGTTGAGGACGTTCTCCCTGATATCCTCCCAGCCGTCATGGTGGGCCGACACGTGGTAGACTCCCTCCTTCAGCCCTTTGTAGCTCCTCCAGCGCGTGTAGAGGAAAATGCCCAGCAGCAGCACTGCAGGTGACACACACACACACACACACACACACACACACACACACACACACACACACACACACACACACACACACACACACACACACACACACACACACACACACACACACACACACACACATGATTAACATCCTTCAGGCAATTAAGGTGTTGTCCCAGAGAGAGGTGCAGTTCGATGGAGTTGGCCTCGAGCATCATTTGCCAAAGAATGTGAGCTGCAGAGTGATGAGTTTTAGGGTTCAACTGATAATGATGCTTTAGGCCGTGTTCACATTGACTTCTTTTTTTAACTGCCAGCGCCTTTTTTTTACAAACAAGCCATATGGAAAGAGGAAAAAGGATGATGCCTTTTTAAAAAGCACTGCGCCTGACGCCTTTTTCTGTTGAATTATTCAACTTTTCAGAAAAGCACTGGGTGACGTCAAGCACCTTTCTGACAGCTGACCAATCAGGACGAGTAGTAACCCACGTCCCTAGTTACCGGTGCCCAGAGCCCTAGAGAGAGCACTCGCGGTGCCCAACAAGATGTCTGGCACCCAAAAATGGCGCATTGGTTGTTCAGGGGCATCCTCCTCCTCAAACGCCAAAGCCAATGGTTGCACTGTATTTGCCGTTTTACCGACCAATGTTATCAGCAGAAAGATATCGGACCTGAACTACCACCAGACGTGTGCATTGTGTGTCCGCACTCCGGTCTGTTACGGGTCCCTGCACCCTCGTCCGTCAACACCCACCGGCTGTGTTCTCAGCTGGAGGGCGGAGGCCATTTTACAGAGGTTTTACAAGTTAATCGTACGTGGTATGAAACTCTAAATAAACCTTATAAACACATAAACAAACACACAAACGGTCAATTTTTCTGAACCATCCAAACGGAGAATTTTATTCTGAAAATAAAATAATGGTGTCTGATTTCCCAGGAAGTAACCTTGAAGCTGAGGGCTGAACAGGACGCCCTGCAGCAGAACTACCAGGGAAGGAGAGCTTCTATGAGAGACAGAGTCACACTCAAATGATGGTAGATATAATTCAAAAATGTCCACTGTTGAACAAGATGTCCATAAAATGTCCATTGAAATAACATGAAATACATAATCTGGAACATTATATTCCTGCACAGAGAGTTGTTTTCTGCAGCTGTAAGTTGTTGTTCAGTTAACTTATTAAGAACCTGATTGTCCCTCTTCTGCCTTTTACACTCAAATGTGTAGAGTTAAAAAAAAAAAGTCAAAGGTCAACATTTCAATCACAGCTGTAGATATGATTAATGATAACAAGCTCTGCTGAGTGAGAAAAGTGAGCCCCCTCCTTCTTCATCTGTCTACATGAGTTACATTAACGCCCACTGGACTTTAAAAATGTATCTTCCTTACATGCACTCTGTGAGTAGTTACACACACTAAGATTTTTTTATTTTCTCATGGTCCACTGCACAGCTGCTACATTACACCTTTTGTACATTTTGTGTTTTTTATTTTTTATATTTACATTTTTAAATTATATTTTATATATTGTAATATCTTCTTATTCTGTATTATTTAAGTTGTTGCTAGTTCTGCTTTATTTCCTTGTTAATTGTTTAGCACCAATACACTAAGTCAAATTCCTTTCCAAATTGGCAATAAAATTCTGATTCTGATTCTGATTCTGATTCTGATTCTGATGAGGAAAAAGAGGGAAATAGAAGCAGGGGGTCACCGTGTCACTCGTGGGCAGTTAGGACACTCTGATAGGAAACAATAAATCAGGCTGATTGTGTCGCCCGCGGCCACGTGGCAGTGGGCTTGCAGCTTAAGGATACTTGACCCGTTGAAACATGAATCTGTATTGACATTGGGTCATATATGTAGAAATGTGAAATACATTTTGAAGTTGGTGCCTTCTTGGTAGAGAAAAGGCAGAAAGTGTCTTTTTGACAACAACTCCCAGAATGCACAGCCGCCTCCTGTTCCTCCATCAGCATCAACTGCTCGTCGCTCTATTGCGGCTCGCAGATATAGCCAGCTCCTCGTCCTCACCGCCGCGGCGATTATTGCGTCACTGGAAGCTCCTTTTTCAGACTTCTCAGGGGAAAATGAGGCGGGATTCAAAAATACTACCAGGTTTCTAATGATCCAAAGCTTAATGTTAATGAGTGAAGTATCCCTTTAAGTCTTTTCAACCTCAGATGTCTGGCTTGTCTGGCCGGTATCACATTTTCAATTACAGACTAATTCCAACAAGACGCCATTAACAAAAAAAAAACGGAGATCCACATCCTGGTTCTTTTTAAACCTGCCAATATCTGTGCGGTTAGGAGTGATTAGAACTGTGTGAGTGCGTGACAGAGAACATCCTCCAGATTATTGCCGCTGCAGTCTGCTGGATTCAAAGAATACTAATGATGCCCTAACCGACGGAAGCTCAGACAATTAGTGGACGTTTTTTTACGAGAGCGACCTACTCGTCCGTTGCTAATTGACAGCTCTGAAAAGTGAACTGTTCACGCTGAAACATCGGATCATCTGCGAGACAACGCGGAGGTGTTCACGTTAATGAGAAACCGTGTATGCTCGAGGAGGAAAAAGCTGCTGAAGTGTTGAAGTGATTTGACTTCAGTGGGAAGTAGATTGTAGACACACACACACACACACACACTGTTCATCTGATCTGAATGTATTTCCCACTGTAGCTCTGCTGTGACCTTTTCATATGTCTAACAAATCCCCCGTGCTTTCTCTCATTTCTATCACCTCTTGCCGTACTCTGACACTTCATATCTCACTTGTCTTCTGCAATATTAACCCGCTTTACGCCCACACACACCTCGCTGTGTCACTGCCATTAAGTTACCCCTTTCACTTTTATTCACTTTGACTAAACTCAAACAAAGGAATTAAGAGGCTGCCAGTCGCTATGAGAAAGCAGAAGCAGGTAGGATAAGGAGCGCAGTGTTGAGGTGATATAATAAATAACTTGTGTCATTAATTGAGCTTGACTGGATGACTGTCTGTTTGTGTGAAGGCTATACATAGAAAGTTGTGTTTTAATCAGAGAAGAATAGCAGCAGTCACGTACTGCAAAACCATTTCAACCGGCAGTGCTATAAATACCTCGGCCATTCAGATCTTTCTCTTTCTATCTAATCTGAGGTTTGACAATCGCCGTGGAAAAACTCTGATCTTAACGTCCTCCTTCTCAATCAATCAGTGCTTTTTTTTTTTTTTAATCCATATGTCTTTCTCCCACATCCCAACTAAAACTCAACAGCCCATCCATCGCCGCGGCAACAGACGGCGCTCAAACTCCCTGTGAATTGATAACACCCCATTAAACAGCCCACCCTCTGACAACTCTGTAAGAGTAAATCCATTCAGCCAGAAACCAGCTGCACGGAACGGGAGGGAAAAATCAATATTCATTTACTGTCAACTTGTCCCCCCACCCCCTCCTCCTCGCCACAACTCCAGCGTCTGGCAGATTTATGAGATGAAATTGTTTTGAGAGATTCACTGTTTCATTTTTAGAGTGGCATCATGGCTTTTAATGGCAGAGAACAGAGAGGGGGATAAAAAGACAAAGAAAGTCAAAGGTAGACTTTGTGTGGTTGTCTGTCTGCTGCAGAGCGGCGGTGAAAAGGCAGAAACAAGGTCACAGGTTCAGTCCCATGCCCTGACTGCAATGCTCCTCATTTACTGAGGAGGTTTGCCCCGAGCTTCCAAAGACTCAGAGACCAAAAACAAAGCAGTGATGAGAAGCAGCCTGGAGGTTTCTAAAGCCAGTGATAATATGAGGCTTAAGGCTTTAAAGCTCAGTGATAAAAAAAAAAAAAAAACACCACAGCTTCAAGCTATACTGCCTGCTGGCTGAATCTGTTTTAATTCAATTTAAAAATCTTTTCCCTTTCATCTTCATATCTACAGGAAAATGCACAATACCAAAAATCTGTAAAATAAAAAAGAACTGACTGAATATGCATGAGTCTGGCCGGCGGTTTCACACTTCTTCACTTCTTCATGTTCTCATGAAAAACAAAGAAGAAATGAAGCAGTCACAAGCTCACTGAAAGCAACATTTTTAATCAAATAATTCAACTACAAAACCAGGTAAGACTCAAAATAAATGGGTAGCTACGCTCAGAGAGAATCAGTTTGCTGGTTCAATTCAACTTTATCTCCATTTTCTAGATCAAAATACTGCAGAACCGCTCTGCTCCTGCAGGATGCTATCTGTTCACCGAGCTGGTTTACATCCTGGTACTAGAGCGGAGAGAGCAGGCCCATTAACCAGAACACAGTCAAAGGATATAGCCCCACCTAGTGGCGGCTTGCAGCTTTGCAGTTTGAGGAAAACTTCTGATCGGCATCCAGGGCCAAAATATTTACCTGACAAATAATTGTGGTGTTGACGTTTTACTATTTTATCGACTTCAGCGATAGCGACTTTTAGCGACTTCAGCGAGGTGATTGGCACTACTACCCCCCAACGTCTCTGACGCCATGCCACCACCATCAGACTGTGTCATCACCACAACCACCGCCGTCCTCATCCATGCACGGCCAATCACTCAAGAAAAAGTTTGCCGGTACTTGAATTAATATTGATGAAAAAGTTTTTAAAAAGTGCAAAATACTGATTTGTCTTTGACTATGAAACTTCTGTTCCTGTTGTCCACATAAGGAAGTGTGGAGCAGGAACGAGAGGAATACAAAGAAGAAATCCATCCTGCATATAAACCAATATGCTCTTTTGTAAAGCGTCTCTAGATAACACTTGTTATGAATTGGCGCTAAACAAATAATGAAATTGATTGATTGATAAACACACATTCTACCACAAAGACACAAAATCAAGCCTAAAAAGGGCTGCACAATGACCCAGCTGACAATGAATGTGACTCCCAATGTCGTACTTTTTACTTTTTAAATGTTTGTCTCGTTCTCTGTGTAAACTCATTTCTCTCAGTCTTGTTGTTGTGTATATTCATCTGCGTTTTATGCCTCGAAACTTAATTGGTC